GATCTAGAAACCGAAATTCACCTGCGTCTATCTGTCGGTAACACCTGATACAAGTGACCACGAGAGTGGTACAAAGGACCATAGTGATGGTACGAAGTACCACAGCCATGGCACAAGTGATCACGAGAGTGGTACATAGGACCATAGCGATGACATGAAGCACCATAACCATGGTATAAGTAACCATGACAGTGGTACAAAAGACTGTAGTGACGGTACGAAGTACCACAGCCATGATACAAGTGACCATGACAATTGTACGAAGTACCACAGCCTTGATATAGGTGATCACGACAGTGGCACAAAGAACTATAATGACGGTAAGAAGTACCATAGCTATGGAACAAATGACTACGACAGTGATAAAAGTCGTTTCTGTCTGCCTACGATAAATAGAGCTCTAGTAATTCGAGATGCATCAGTGCACGAGAAAAAATTATACAGTCAATATACGGAATCATCATTGGACATAAAGAACAGAATGCTCAGAATAATGTGAGAAAAGGACTAGAATAATAAAGGTCAGTTTCTCGTCAAAAACGTAAAATTCAAGTTTTTAATTACGAAAAACTGACTTTTTGAAGTGGTTGCTCCTTCACGTGAAGTTCTCAGGCGAGTTTATTTAGTACTTTTGGAAGAGTACATTTAGAATCAGGATGCAATGGTGTGTATATCTGCCTCCCTTCAGTCTAGGATTCAGTGAATCGAAAATCGATGAACGTTACTTGTACTTATCTCAAGATCAAAAACACAAAAAACAAACAAATTAGTTACTTTTTCTCTCAATAGAATTATTTATACATATCTTTCATTTATTTAACAAATTCATTTCCTTTTCTCATTTGCTTATTCAATAAATATCTGTTTTCATTTATTTATTCAATAAATTCTATTTTTCATTTATTTATTAAATAAAGTTTTCGTACTCCACTAAACTTTTCTATTTCAAATTCAAATTTAAAAATTCATAAATCTTCTATTTGATTTTCTTTCAATATTTCTCTAGAAATCTATTCAATTTTTTTCAAATTAATATTCTATCTATAAATTTAAATTTATTCAATAAAATATTTCATTCAAATAAAATCACTTTTTCATAAATCCATCTAAACCTATTGCAATTCATTTCAAACTTACTAAAATTTATCATATTGCATTTAAATTTTCATAAAATCTAAATTTTCATTTAAATTCTCTAAAATTTACACAAATTCAATAAAATTCTCCTAAATTCAACTAAATTCAAGATCTTCCTATTCCAAAACTATAAATTTATTTAACTTTTCTAAAGTCTCTCAGATTTCTCTAAATTTATTTATTTTCGCTTATATTCAAATAAAACTGGCTCTTTTTTCTAAAAAGTCCTATAAAACACTAAAACAAACCAAAAACATATCAAATTTTCGAAAAAATCAGGACAAAAAGCTAAAATATACTTTCAAATTAAATCAAAAATTATTTATTTGTTTTTTGCTCAAATTTCTTGAATATTATTCATTTTTTCCTATATTTATTTATTGATAAATATTTTTGTTTTTTCTATTTATTCATTTACATATTTATTCCTTTATTTATTCAATTGATTTATTCGGTCTTTCTATTTTTACCTCATTACATTGTTACTTCGCATTTTCTTTAAAATCACACCTACACCCACCACAGAACGGAACAAAAGAATAATCTCCCTTCGCATGGAATCGAACCATGCATCTCCTGCTTTTCGGGCAGTCGTATTAATCATTGTACTAGAAAGGAGTACTCATCATTCGTTTCGTTTCGTCTTTTGTTCGAAGTGAAACACTTCGAACATAACAGAAGCACATGAAATATGATGGGTATCGTTAGGAATTTTAGTCAATTGTTCTTCAAATTTTTATGTTTATTGTTCATCAGGAAAAGTATTTCGAAATGAAATTCATCGATTTATTCGACACATTCGTTCACATCTTTTTCATTAGCAATTAATTTCGCAATATTGACAAAAAAGTGTACAGTGTAACTTTGTTTCTATATTTGTTTTTTTGAAAATTTTTTGTGCATTAAGTGTTACAAAAAATTGACTATATGTTATAGTTCTTTATGAATATGAATGATTCGTATAAGCAGCAGATGAAAATCAATACTTCGTGCATAATTTGAATACATACTACTGATATGTATGAATTCAATGTATGCATTAGAATAATAATACTATCGAGAATATTTTTTTTTCGTTTTTATATTGTGAAAAAGCACATGAGGATTTACATGTAGTGAAAAAATATTGAATTCGTTTTGCCCGAAAATCGATGAAGGGAACTCTCAAGCATTGTTTTAATGAATACGAAGCCATTCCAAAACATATTTGGTTTTCAATTTGCCTACGGACCACCCAATATAATTAATTTTGTGGATTACACAGTAGCGAAACAATACATCTCCACTTAGTCTTCAAGAAGAAAAAGAAAAGAAACAAACTCGTTTCATACTACTCGATAAAATCAAAACTACTCTCAATGAACGCAGATCGATTATCTGTAAAAGCACAAGAAGGTGATCATTTTAAGACATTATCTAAACAATTTCTAATTACAAAAGTATTCTAGGTTCAGTATCACCGTCAATTCAACCACAAATCATCAAAGTTTCTCATCATCATCGCCCTCAAACATTCACTAGTGAAGTGAGATTCTCTAGTTTTGTATTCTTATATTCATATGTTGTACAATTCATCTCTAGCATTATTTTTCATCAAAATTAAAGAAAAGACAATCTTGAAAAATTATTCATGTCAATATTCGATCAAACTATGGCATTCATCCTACAAATCAGACATCTTCGAATGCAGCCAACAGGTTATATCTAGTGAGTCTTTTCTAAAAATCAAGTAGATATTTTTCTATCTGTTTCTCTCTACAAAAGAGTCCAAGTAATGTATCGATTGACCATCATCAACGTCAGTCAGGCAAATCATCTATCAGAAAAAGGTCACTTCAAGAATCAAATAATACAACATTTTTAGTTAGTTTTTCACACATTCATCAGCATCATTGATATGACTTATTTTCTATCATTAATTCGTTATTAGACACGTGAAAATCAATGGAACAACAACCGTTCCGATATGAACCCAGCAAAAACAACCCAAAATATCAAAAATGATGGACATGACGATCATAGAAAGTCTTTGAAAATAAGAGAGTTGAAAGAAGATATTTCTTTCGATAAAACAGCTGCGATCAATGATCATCATCGAATGAAAAAGAAAAAGTAAAGTATCTATTCGATTTTACTTTATCATTTGAAATAATTATATTTTAATTAGTAAACCTTGTCGATGCTCACGTTTACATATATGTCTAACTATAATTTCTGGTATTTTGTTGATAATGGCTCCCATTATAATTCTGGTTATTTTGTTAACAAAAAAGCCTTCATCAAGTCGTAAGTAAAAAATTCTCATAATTCGATACATTTGTTTTTAATTGATTCAAATCCTAAGAAAAATATTTTAGTATACTAAACTTGTCTTTTAGAAGTTTCTTCATCATAGTTAACAATCAGATAAATTTTATAGTTATATACATTGATTAGTAGTTTGATTTTTATTATAGCAACCATCGCATTACTTCGATGGAATCTATCGGCGGTCACTGTTGCTGGCGTGGGTACTTCCAGTAATATGTCCGACTCGTTAGGTGGACCGTATGGTTTTACATTGGATTCATTCAATACGTTATATATCGCTGAATATAGTACCAATCGGATAACGAAATGGTTTCCCGGTGCCTCAAATGGTCTCATAATCGCCGGTCAGATAAATGGTACGCGAGGAAATGCTACTAATGCATTTTACGGTCCTATCGATGTGCTAATTGAGTCAAATGGAGATATGTATGTGACTGATAGAAACAATAATCGACTTCAATTTTGGCCTTATGGTGCTTCCTCAGGCATCCCAATTGCTGGTATGATTGATAGAAGAATGAAAGAAAAACATTAAATTACACCTACTTTTCAAAATTTGTTATATCGAATAGGTTAAAGAACTGAGTTTGAGAAAGACTTGTTCTTCTTTTAGAATTAGCTTAAATAGTAGATATAATGCATCGTTTGTTGACAGGTTCAGGTTCAAATTCAAGTATTGTGTTAAACGGTCCATCGGGCATTGTACGGGATCCAAACTCAAATATACTTTATATTGCTTGCGTGTATAATCACGAAATTGTCAGTTATCCATCAGGCAATATAGTTGCTGGAGGTAATGGACAAGGTATTAATCGTACACAATTGAAATCGCCTATTGGATTGGTCTATGATTCGTTTTCGAACAGTTTCATAATTGGAAACTATGGTGCTCATAATATTATTCGCTGGTCATTAGGTGCTAGCAATTGGACACATATAGTTGGTAGTATTTCTGGATTGCTTGGCAATACGTCAACGTTGTTAAATCAACCAGTGGGAGTGACGCTTGATCCTATGGGTAATATATATGTGGCTGATTCTGGTAATCATCGTATTCAACTTATACTGAATGGTCAATCAGAAGGTACAACTATTGCCGGTATTAATGGTATATATGGTTCCAATTCTACTCTTCTATATCGTCCTTATTGGGTAAAACTTGATAATCAACTTAATTTATATGTAGCAGATACATTCAATGGTCGAATACAGAAATTTCTACGTTACTAATAAAGATATTCGTCTTTTGCATGCATAACATGTCAAATTGCCTGACATAAAGATACTTTCAAACTATTATTATATGTTGATGAAAATATAACAGTGAATGAATAATTGCATAAAATATAAGTCTTTAATTAAATTATGAAGTCAATTTTTTCCTAACATTGAAGAATCATAGTGAATGTCATAGATTATTTTAAGATCTCAAGAGAACGAATCAGTGTCATTTGAACATACATCTCTCTCAATTGGTTATTTTGTATGAAAAAAAGTATTTGTTCTTTATGTTGCATTTAATTTATAGAGACATAATTTTTTATTTCAAACTAAAGAGTCAAGAGTTTATGTTTGTGATATTGAAGTATTTCAAATGTAAGAGAGTTGTTCTTCGCCATAACACTGTCGAGGTAAAAGGTTATTGCTTTCTTTTGCATACTTATCAGTGTCCGACACGGGTCGGATCGGGTCGGGTTACGAAAAAAAGTTTTGAGCTCGGGTCGAGTCACAAAAGCTTTATGAATTCCGAACCTTACAGAAGAAAAACAGCAATTTTAGATGAGATAATCATTTCTTCGTTTCGAATACCTATAGAATATGTATCGATTTACTGAGAAGATTGTCAATGTCTGAAAACAAAACTCACTTTGGTTGGCCAAAAACTATCCGTCACCTCGGGTCAAGTCAGGTCGGATCAGATGGGTTTGGGTGTAGATGTGAGAGAATAGAAGATTCCAACCCATACCCACACCCTCTTTCAAAATAAAACACAACATGCCCGTTCATTGACTATTGTTTGGAGTTACTTTCAATATAAAAATGATAACGATTCTGTTTTAATTGTTCTGAATCAATTTTAACATTGACAGATGCTATAGAATAAAATACGAGAGGCATCATTGTTGACTTGATAAAGTGGTAATATCGATGAAGGACAAAAAAAATCTGGAAACGTGTAAAAATTTCAAGCAAGATTTTTGTTTTTTAATCTTAAACAAGTGGAATAATTTGATATCTCATATTGTGTTCTGGATTTTGAAGAGTATAAATGGGTAGAAAAGGCTTATTCATTAACTATGAATAAAAGCAACAGGAATCAACTTCGATCAGTCATTTCTGCCTTGCTTTAATTTTCAAGCAGTTTTCTAGGTTATTTATAATATGTTGATTTCCAGGATATCACGATTCTATTATTCTAATAAAATTCTTTCCATTCATTATTGTTCCATGATGATGACATCCTGAAAATCTTAGTAGTATAATTGATATACATTAACTCAGACATTTGAGTTATGTTTCATGAAAAAAAATAGACAAAGACAGAATTTTATAAATTAAATCGATTGTAGACACATTATGGATAGTATGAACGATTCAGATTTCGAAGAATATGTCTACTTGCATTTGACTGTCGAGTTGTTAATGGGCAAAATAACATAGTAGTGTACCTGTATAGAATAAAATCTACAGAGTCATACACAAAAATCAGACATTCAAAGATAATTTATTTCTAATGTTTCCATCCGATTGAAAGAAGTTGCGCTAATTTTTTTTTGAGCGATCTCAAGCAACAACATAGTATACGATTTAGAATTTCGTAATATTCACAAATGAAAATATGACTGAAAAGGTCTACTCTCCAAATCAATATTGGATTAGTTTCATTACTGAATTATGTATGATACGGAATGAACATTCTATGACATCCATAATATTTCATACATGGTATATACCCAAATGTCATTGATCTCATTTATCAAACTTTATAATATGCGCATTATCTGAATCTTAATTTACACTATTGTTGTTACTAATATTGATTTCCAACTTCAATGATGGATCGAAGCAGATATTTTATCGTGTTGTGCTAAACAGTGTGTTTATAAGAGTGCGAGTGTGGATTTGGTGAGTTTTTTTCTTTTGTTCATCCACATCCACACCCGTATTTGTTAAACAGATATAGTATGCTTTTCAATGGATAGAGTTTTTTTCTTGTCTTCGTAATGATAAAAACTAGTGACGGTAGAGCATTGTTTCATTTATTTATTTATTTATATAATGTCATATGATTGACACATATTTATCTATATAGTCTTGGATATTACTTGTATTATTGTTCGTCCTTAATTTTGGTTTATGCCTTTGATAATCTCTAGCGAGTTATCATACTTCAGGTTCCAAAAATTCTGATCATTTAAGAAATTTAGACATTTTCATTACTGATTGGAATAAAAACAAATATTTTGTTTTTATATAATAGAGGAAGTGAGTAAGTTTTTTCTTCAAATGGATGAAGTTCATAAATACTGTTGTTAATTTTAATTTCAATAAAAGAATTCAGACATTTTACAGTTTCTCAGAAGATATTATGATAGGTTTCTTTTTCAGTTATTTTGATTTTTAATTTTTAATGCATTCAACCTCATTTCTTCTTGTAAGTACTGCTGAGGCAAAGCAAGCAACTCTTATTTTGTCAGCAAAATCATGATATCTACGTTCAATGGTCAACGAACGTGAATGTATTGTGCAAATAAGAATTCAAATTGCATGTCGGTGTAAGCGTGAATGTAGGTGTTCATCTCTTCTGTTTCTCCACCTACATCCTGACCACTTTGATTTAATCTTTGCGATGTCAAGACTTTCGTCAAAGATTTTAATTTAATTTAATAAAAAGGAATATATTTTGTGAGAATAAATTATTTGTTTGATTTCATGGTCAATTTAATTGAAACAAAAATTGATATTCAATCTGCTATAATTGATATTAATATTTCCTTTTTTTTTAAGTTAATAATTTAATAATGATTTCATGTATTTTGTATTGTTCAATAGTTGAATTTGTCATTCTCTGAATTTCTTAACTTCATTTATTGACATTATCAAAGATGTTATCTATATTTAAATTAATAAAACAAAATGTTCGTCGAAACTCGAAGTGATTTAGTAATCAAAGCTGTCGTATGTCGCCACTTTATTACTGCTTGGTTTAACAAAGCACATACACAGCATTAGAGCAGTCGAAATGATGCTGCTATCATCAAATGATCTGAGGGATGTGTCTCATCTGGATAGGATGGACTTGTCGGTCGATCGGGTAACTGCAATACGTCTTCAATCATCAGTTTACCGTCAAAAAATATATAGTCGAGTGTGTTGCAATACAAGGATCCGTTCGCTGTGTCAGCGAAATTTGTATAAGCGGGTTCACTACCATTTTTCTCGTAATAAGCACTTTTCAATTTTTGTTTAAAAATCGGTTGAGAAGGTAGTTTATAAATGTACGATCTTGCGAGGCTAACGTTAACATAATCTGAATGTGTAAGGGCTCGATAACAAATATTCGAAGGATCAATATTGAAGTCTCCAGCTAAAATCAAACTTTGACCAGCTGCCTTTTCAAACATTAAATCTTTCACTGCACAGGCATGTATCATCATGACGTCAGGCATATTGTAGAGACAAGGCATGTGGTAAGTGCCAATATACACCGATTTACCATTGACTACAACTTCTAAACAAACAAGCGTATTACTTCTGGACATGGCTATTTCCCAAGGATCATCTATTGACTCTGTAAATGTAGCATTTGACTGTTGACATAAACTCCGTATCCATGAAAAACAACCCATCTTTCTCCAACGACGTTTGATAAGGCTGCGTAGATAGCTTCTGATATTGATAAATGAATATGAATTAAGTTGCATCGAACGGGGAATCCCTATACCCACACCCATGTAATCATTATATGCTTGACCATAGAGTTTATAATAAAACATATAATTTTGACGATTAAAGAACAACTCTAGTTCTGGTAACAGCGTGCGACACACTTCTTGCAAACAAATAACTGTATTCTCATGATGACTAATTTCTTGTTCGAGCTGAGATTCAATCAAATGCCATCGATACTGAGTTTTAAGAAATTGAGGTTGACATTTATGATAGTAGGTTGGATTATCAGCGTAGATACACACCAACAGATTATATGAAACAATACGAAGTTTCATAATTTTATTTTGAATCTTGCAAATATTAATGAGAAGAAGAACTAAATAAAAACAAGCAGCATACTACATGATGGCATTCATTACTTCCCTGCTACGTGGAAAGACAAAAACAACGATGACTAAGAGTGTTATTGTATGGTAAAAAGGAAAGGAAAAAATTTCAATAATAAGCATTATATGATGCAAGAAGAAAGCGTAAACTAACAATGAGCCAGCTGTAGAACAGATTGCGATTGGATAAGATTTGAGGAGTCGCTGATAGTCTTGAATTTAATACAAAATCTATGCATGTTATAAGACAAAAACTCATCATTTTGTAAATAGATCTCCAGGCAACAGTCAAAATATCGATCTATTTATTAATATCGATGGGAAAAGGACTTTTTAAGTACTATTAGGGTGAGTGTGGGTATGGATGTGGGCGTATGATGGGTGTGGGTGCGGATGT